TACATTATTCAATTTACTTATAAAGATAGCACAAAAAAATATCTATACTACGTTATACATTACATTTTCATATCACAAAAAACCTTTTATTTATTTAACAAAATATGCTTATTTTACTCACACGTTCGAAGTTGAAATTTCTTAAATATTTAACATAGAAAGTTAAAACAATGTTTTCCACTTGAAATTATACATATCTTAACTAATACAATAGTTTAATTTACATTTTTCCTATTCATTTCACTATTAAAACACTTTTAAATTTCTTATACAAAACTATCATTATTTCACTTATTCACAGGAATTTTCACATAAAAATAACACACAATTAACTTTTTTTATACGTACAATCAATCTGAAATGTTTCACAAGTCATTTTTACATATATTGCTGAAATTACAAATATTTAAATTTTTACATATTTGGCCTCTTCTTTTACATATTTAGTCTCTTTGACTTTGCACGGCTATCGACTATCAGAAAAAAATGGAAAGTCTAATATATACCAATATCAACAATACTAAGGTGAATCAATGCTTTTACACAATTCTCAAACTGTAGGAAACTATTTCTAATCAGATTCTTATCAGTTATCATATCTCTTTTCAGATAACAATATAAGTGAATGTTTTCATAAATCAATCATAGCAAATAAGCATTTGTTTTCATGCAAAACATATCAAACCCATATAAGACAACACTTATGCTATTAATTTCCATTAATTCTATTTACTCACAAAGCGATCATCTCGACCGGGGAATAAATCCGATCTCTAACTTTATTTTAATATTCCTTTAAATTTACATCATTGGAGAGATGATTTCAACCGGGGAACAAATCCGGTAACATAATTTATATCTTAAAAATTCCCTATATGAATTTATTAAGAGATATTACTAAGAAAACGATAAACCATTCCGGCCTGGGAGTCGAACCCAAGACCTTCATATCATTAATTCGATATTTCTTTAAGATTCAACTAAGCATTTTATTATCGGAATATTGTTACTTGATAATTTGCTTTTTAGAAGCTATTCGTAATCGGTTAACTTAATAAATTGAAATATTCTTATAGGCTCGTCGCCAACAGAAAGAAATAACCGAGGAGCTAAACCGAGCCAAAAAAGTACTGACAGACACGATTTAGTTGCTAGAATATTTAGATTAAAAGTACAGAAGTTAATGTATGTAATTGTAAGTTGAAGACAGGTGGCGCTATTTGAGTAGTTAACATAGGCTCCGTATAATTTTTGTTTTAAAAATATTATAAACAAACTTTACGTAACTATTTTATAATCTAAGTATTAATTCTAACGTAATTTAGTGTGTAGAGTGTTATCTCGCTGTTTGGAGCTATATTAACAGTGCAAAGTTGATGAAAGTAATCCAGTGAATTAGTGAACTATCAATTGTTGTATTATTGAATTTATTGTAATAAGACAGTGTTTTTTAAAGTGAAGCGCTAAGGTACAGTACTAACGAACTAAGTCACATTGCTATCAACATTTCATTTTTGTGTTAAAGTGAAAAAACATAAATTTTGTATTAAAGTGACGGTTGTGGTAGTTTGAAATGTTTAAATTTATATTACTCGTACATCTGATTAAATCAGCGACATCTATGTGATAATAGATTACCTGAAGAGAATACCTATTTTTGAATTATCACACCATCTACTAATTACTGGCGAAATATAGATAGGTACGAGCTTATGCGAATCGATCTGTTACATTAAGTCTACGGTCACCCATTAGAGGGCGCGCGCATTCATCTCATTTGGGAATATTTTAATTTTGAAGTAAGTCCTAGATTGTTAGTCATATTGAATTTATTGTGTGAAATGATGTCGCCACCAACCGAGACTTGTGCTGCATGTGCGAAACCTTTACCCAAAAGAGAATATCTACGTTGTTGTAATTGTAATGGAGTCTATGACATTAAATGTCTAAATATAAGTAGTAAACGCTTCTATTCTTTTTATTCGTTTAATAAGGAGCGTAAAGATAATTGGAAATGCCTTTCATGTGTGAGCAAACTCCCGCGAACGAATAATTTGAATACACCAGTGCGTACTGCTGAGTCTGAAATTTCTAGTCCCCCGACTTTGGTTGTCTCACCAGAGAACTCGAATGTGGCAGTCCGCGGCAAACCACCTACAAAAAATACTCAGGACAAGAACATTCATGAAGAGGACAGCATCATCATGGAGAATATTATGTCAGAATCGCTCGATGATACAGCTATGGACTTCAAACTGCTTCTTGGTGATATGAAGGCAATCCGTGCTGAGATGCGCTTGTTCCGTAATTCTATGACAGATCTTATGACTGCCATTAAGATGCAAAGCAGCCGCATTGACTCCATCGAAACCAGAATATCAGCCTTAGAAGACAAGTCAAAAGGCTTACAACGCTGTAAAGTTTCGACTTTGGAAGAGACAGTGTCACAGTTGAAGTCGCAAATATTGGAACGTGACCAAGACTTACTCGCTAATGATATCCAGATAGCGGGATTCCCTGAAACGAGTGGTGAAAATACCACACATATTATCTTGGCTATTGCCAAGAAATTATGCGTGGACCTGGATGAGCGCAATGTGGTGTCTTCAGAGCGTACAGGTTTTATACGTGATAATGGCGAGGGCTCTTCAATTCCGCGGCCACGCCTTTTAGTCGTGCGATTGGCGCGTCGTGCTCAGCGTGATGCTCTAATACAGGCGGCACGAGTACGACGCAATATCACTACTGAAGGTTTGGGACTGACGGGAATAGCTCGCACCATCTATATCAACGAGCGTCTTGCTAAGCACAATAGCCGGTTATTTTATAAAGCCCGTGTGACAGCGAAAAGGCTTGGTTGGAAGTATGTATGGTCACGTGATGGAAAGATTTATGTAAGGAAGGAACATGGGAGTGAGCGACATCGGCTTCGGTCGGAAGAAGATTTGACTAAGGTTTTTGCTGTGGAAGCTGTTGGCTCTAAAACTATGTCACTCGGCGAATAATAAGAATATGTTATTTATAATTATTTTTATACAAACTTCTTACATTAAATTACTTTTTTTATTTCATAAATGTTACATTAACATACGTTTCATTGTTATATTCTGGCAGATTAGCGGTATATAAAGTTAAGTTATTATTTTACTTTTGCTTGCTTCAACATATTCAATAATATTTTATAATGACACAAAGGTTATGTACTCAAAGATATCTTCTTACAATTTAGTGTTTTATTTATGTGTTAGAGAAAGTATTAAATTATGTTACACATATAATTATCTTGTGAAATATGTGATATGTTACAATAGTTTTTATGGCCTAATAATAATATATTGTATAAAGTTTTACCTGTATATATGGAATTGTCTAAGCTTTCTTAATAGATCTTCAACGGAAATTCCTTTCATCACTTGTATACTTTATTTTCTAAACTATTTAGTGCTATTGTTGAGGGAGGTGATATTTCTTTGTTTTTTTTTTTTAATTTGATTTATGTTTTGTTCGTTTTGAGAGTTGTCCTTTTCGCAAGCATTTTATATTGTCTTTTTTTTAATAATAATTTCTATGTCACAGTGTGCGTTAAAACATTTTTAAATAAAATTACTCAATGAATAGCCTATATACTTGTATATTACAAGACGTTCGTTATTTTTCATAAATTATTATTGCATTTATCGACGCGTTCATTTGTGGTTAAGCGACATCTGACTTTACTGAGAAAATATTTATTTAATTGCAAATATGTTCAGATAACATACTCTTTTATCATACAATTTATTAGTAAAAAAAATTATCTCTTGGTTTTCTGAATCCGGGTTCTTTATGTACACGACATGATGAATTTTTGGTTTCCCTTGATCGTCATGCGGTAGATATTATGGCGATAAATGAAACGTGGTTGAAGCCAGGTGAGGAACTGCGCGCACCGTCCCCTCCAGGATACAAGCTACGACACAAACCGCGTCCTACAAGCGTCCGAGCACGAGGAGGGGGTGTTGGTTTTTACATTAGAAATGGTATCCACGCTCGCGTCCTGGACCATCCGAGTACGCTCACTATTGAACAGATGTGGTTAGGTGTTAAAGCTAATGGTCTGAAACTTGCCATAGGTACCGCGTATCGTCCTCCTTGGTTTCACGTTGATAATTTTATAAATGATCTTTCTGATACAGTCAGCTCGTTCTCAGCCTACGACTATATTATACTGTTGGGAGATTTCAATATTAATTTTACTTGCACCTTCTGATCCTAATTCTAAAAAGCTCAATGATTTTCTTCTTTGTATGGGTCTAAGGCAGTACGTCACACAAGCGACTCATTTTACTGATCACTCGGAAACTTTACTTGACTTAATTTGCAGTAGCTGTGATGTATCTAATATTCAGGTGGATTATGTGCCAGATCTGAGTCATCATGCTTTTTTATCTTGTGAGCTGAACGTAAAAAAGCCGAAGCAATCCACAACATCCATCACTTATAGACCAATTAAGGATATAAACGTAATAAAATTTAATTCTGATGTTGATGCTGTATTCTGGTAAGAGTTGCTTTGCGGTGACGTAAACAGTTCTTTAACGGCTTTCAATGAACATATTTTGTACCTGTTTGATATTCATGCACCAATAAGAACGTCCTACATAAAATGCCAAAGCTAACCGTGTATCACACCAACGTTTAAAGAAATGATGAAGCTAAGAGATAAAGCTCATGCAAAATGTAAGGGCCTTAATTCAAAAGGAAAAAAAATATTATAAAGATCTGAAGAGTACTGTTAATGCTGCTTTACTGAGTGAAAAAACAGTCTACTTTCGATATTTTATTAATAAAAATTCAAAAAATGCTCAAGTACTTTGGAGAAATATAAAGAAAAATGTGGTAGAATTCAACAAAAAAGATATTGCTTTGCCATCAAACTTGAATGATCCTGACGTAATAAATCACCATTTTCTACACGTGCCTGGAAGCAATAGTGTAAGTCCTTCAACATTATGCCATTTTTAATCTAACCGTTTCAATTCGTCGGTTTTCACTTTAAAATTAGTGGATGAAAATTTAGTATCAGAAATTTTGAAAAATATTTCCACTAATGCTATGGGTGTTGATGGTATCACTAAAGATATGGTTCTCTTAACATTGCCACGGACTTTGAAAACAATAACCACCATTATTAATACGTTTATACAGACAAGGGTGTTCCCAGACATCTGGAAGGAAGCAATCATAAATCCTATACCAAAAAATAATCATCCTATAGAACTAAATCATCTTCGCCCTAAAAGTATAGTGCCTTTTTTATCTAAAATCGCTGAAAAGGCTATTTATTTGCAATTAATAGAATATCTAAACCAGAAAAATATTTTACCTCTTAAACAATCAGGTTTTAGGGCTGGACTAAGCACGGTTACAGCACTGTTGAGTGTTGTTGATGACATTCTGACAGCGCAGGATAACCGAGAAGCTACAATTTTGACTCTACTTGACTTTTCGCGTGCGTTTGATACAATAAATATTACACTGCTTCTGTCGAAGTTGGTGTATTATGGTTTCGATTGTAACGCATTAAAATGGTTTAAAGTTATTTGAATGGTCGCACACAGCGAGTCAAACTTCGAAATGAAACTGGTACCAACATTTTTTCTGCTGCGCCTCCTGTTACTCGTGGTGTTCCACAAGGGTCAATTTTAGGTCCTTTACTGTTTATTCTCTACAGTGCTGATATTACAAGCTGTTTTAAATATTGCCAGTATCATTTATATGCAGACGACCTTCAAGTATACATATCATTTAGGCCGAGTGATACAAATGAGGCAGTTAACAAATTAAATCAGGAGTTAAGTATGATCGCTGAATGGGCGAGTAATAATGAACTCATCTTAAATCCAAATAAAACCAAGTTCATGATTTTGGGGTCAAAGAAATTAATAGGACGAACGAATGCTCATAAGCCCAAAATTATTGTTTGTGGTGACCATATTGAACAAGTATCTGAAGTTCGTAACTTGGGTATAATTATGGACAGTAGACTAAGGTTTGAAAATCATGTTATGCATGCAGTGAAAAATTGTTTTTATAGATTAAAAATATTATATAATATCCGGCAATACTTAAGTGAAGAATTAAGGGTTAACTTTGCGAGTCATTAATACTCTCTAAGCTAAATTATGCTGACATTGTCATGGGAGAGTGTTTGCTTGCGCGAACAAAACTTGTTATACAACGAGTACAAAATGCATGCGCTAGGTTCTGCTATCGAATTCCTCGTAGAGGCCATGTGACACCGTTTTTAAATCAGGGCAAACTTATTAATATGAAATCTCGTAGATCGGTTCATTACAGTTGTTTATTTTATAAATTATTACAAAATCAACAACCAAAATACTTATATGAAAGGCTCAGTTTCTCGGAACGTCTCTCACGGGAAACTGTTCGATTATTGTATCCAAGACACAGAACGGCCGCGTTTCGTGGTAGCTTTCGGTATGCTGCCACAAAGTGTTGGAATAATATACCGCCTCCGATCAAGGGCAGCAAAACAGTTGGCACTTTTAAAATAAAACTAAAAGAATACCTTTTAAATTTGCAAAGTGAGTAGAATTCTGTATCGATGTATCACATTTTTCTTATAAAGTATACTGTGTCTATATATTATAAAACTAACGTATACTTGCTTAATTGTAAATTTATTTATTTTGCTTTTGTATCTTGTCAAATAATTTAATTGTGTGTCTTGTGCCTTGCACATGCCTTTTGTTGCGCTTTTTGTTGTGCCCTTTTCCTAAATGCTAACAGTTTTATTTTTATTTTTAAGTTGTTATAAGTGTGTTTTTTATATAAGTAAAGTATGTATTTTCATAAGTGTTGGAACCTGTGATTAGTATAATAAGTTAAGTTTATTCTATTCCACCTATGTCTTTGGCGTTTACTGAAAATCAGTAGTTGTAGTTACCACTATGTGGTTTCTATAACATTTCTACTGAGTAGACGCCTTTTTAGTTCATTCCATTAAATAATTATGTTATGTTAATTTGTGTATATGTTTGGAACTAAATAAATTATATTATTATTATGGGGTATCTATATAGTTTTCTCATCTGGTTGGGTTCTATAAATATATAATTATAAATGAAAATGAAAAGATAAATATACATAAATATTAATAACATAAAATAAATATAAAAGTACATAAATAAATAAAAGCCCAACCAGATGGAGGCCCTCGGCAGGGGAGACCAAACGGCCGAGGGTTAGGGGGAAAGGGAAAGAAACCGGCGGACGATGCGGGCGGTATCGAGGAGCACCGCCTTCTGCATTTGAACCTGGAGCGGTCCGCCACGTAGTCCCAGCCGCCTCAGATGACCCGAGAGGCTGACTGGGATTAGCCCGTTTGCAGAGACGACTACACGACACAATTCTTGGCCTGTTGTTGCCTGATCTGAAGCATATCAGTCTGCCGATGAGAGCTCTAGCCTTTGCGATACGTTCCTCAATTCTTCTTCTCCATGCTGGGATAGCGCTACTATGGCCAGTAGCGCGTCCAGCCGTGGAAACCTTGGCGCCTATGATACGGCAGAATGCCAGCGCGGCGCCAAAAAGAATTGAGTCCGTCTCGCAAAGGTCCCGGCTGGCTTCCAAATAGGTCACCAGCATTGGGTTCAGAGCCCTCACGACAGCCCGATTCCGCTTGCTTAGGGCTATGCGGGGAAGTCGCGGTCGATTTTCGAGAGGCGTACTGCGCGTTTCCACAATCGCCTCTTCCAATGTACTCCTCATATGCTCTAATTCCAGTTCCTGGGCGACTGTTCCATCATCGTTTGAATCAACCACAACTGGGGTATTCACGACGGCATCTACGTTTGCGGGTTGCTCTACCATTTGTGGCGCCGCATCCTCAGCCGCAGCATTCTCATCCGACGAGGGAACAGCCTCACGTCGTAGCCGTTCGAGTTCGGCGACATCAAATATATTTGAGCGCAAGATATACCGAACTCGGTCTGCCAGGTTTTGCTCTGTGACGGTTAAAGATGGCTCCAGCACAGCAAAAAGACGATGCATCCTAGCTCGATACGCCAAACATCCAGTTTCTCCCCCTTTCGCCCTAAAATACGCCCGCAATGCGTTGCTGTTCATCTGGGTTGTCCAACGCATGCGGCGTACTCCACCAGAGGCGGGTGCCGATTGCTGGGCCCTCGAAGACCCTGCCGACACCAAGCCAGCAGGTGGGGATGATGGATGCGAGGGGCTGCTGGGTGGTCGTGCAGCACCTCACGCTCGGCTGGCGGTTCGCATGCTGCCGCGTCCAGCGCCAGCTCCAGACGCGCCCTGGCGACCTCCAGGCAGCGGCCCTTTGCGCGTTCTATTTAATTCCATCATCCATTTTAGGGCGTCATTTAGCGGGAGACGCCCAGACCCGGCGCCGTTTCATGTTGAGGCCATATGCACAAGCGGGCCTTTGCACCTTCAATTTTTGCCGAGGCACGGCACTAACACCTCTTGGCAAGGTGCTGACTGATGCGCTGACGTAGCGGTTTTGTCACATAACCGTTACGTCAGCGGGCGATGGGGTCGTCACTTCCCTACGCCTTATATATTATTATTATTATTAACAAAGGGAAAATTTTCGGAGAGTTGCAGTGCTTCATGTATTCCATTGAATGGCAAAAAAGAGGATTACACCATGCCCACATTCTAATATGGCTTAAAGAGAAGTTGCAGCCCAGCCAAATAGACGACATAATAAGCGCCGAGATTCCGGATCCTGAGCAAGATAAAGAATTGTATGATACCATCGTCCGAAATATGATTCACGGTCCATGTGGAGCACGAAATTCAATATCGCCATGTATGAAAGAAGGAAAATGTACAAAGAAATTCCCTAAACAGCTATTAAAAGAAACAGTGCACAATGACAATGGCTACCCTTTATACAGACGCAGAGCTTCCGAAGATGGTGGCAGGAAAGGGAAAGCAGAAAGCAATCAAAACTCGTTCTGGAGCGTTTGAAACCTTAGAAAACAGCTGGATTGTCCCGTATTCGCCCATTCTATTTAAAATGCTTACATGCTTCTATATTAATGCCCACATTAATATAGAAGCATGTAGCTCTGTCTGCGCAATCAAGTATATCTATAAATACATAAATAAAGGAAGCGACCAAGCAATATTTAATCTCAGGAGTGAAGGTGAGGCAAATCCCGTTAATGAAGTACAGACCTTTCAAGCAGGGTGTGATGTCAGCAGTAACGAGGCAGCGTGGCGTCTCCTTGGCTTCCCTTTACACGAAAGGCACCCAACAGCTACTCACCTTGCTGTGCACTTAGAAAATGGAGAGCGTGTATATTTCACCGAAAGAAATTTCCAAGAAATAATTGCATCACCGCCAAAAACTACACTAACAGCCTTCTTTCAACTTTGTCAAACCGACCCCTTTTGCAAAACGTTATTATATTCTGAAGTCCCCCGCTATTATACTTGGAACACAACTAGGAACGAGTGGAAACGCCGTATTCAAGGTGCGCCTGTTGCAAATTGGCCCGGTGTAAAGTCATCAGATGCGCTTGGTCGTGTGTATACTGTCCATGTAACTAATTTTGAATGTTTCTGTTTACGATTGCTGCTGCACCATGTTCGGGGTCCTACAGGATATAAACCCTTCCCCTAAAGGCAAATCGAATAAAATTTCGGGCTCACGTTCAGATATAAGAGACACCAATCATATGACGGCGGGTAATTCAAATTTCGACCTTTTTAGCCTTCGTCAGTCATCTCCGCCCTCTTCCTTATTAGGAACTCAATCAATTACCTTAACATCCGATTCTGCAACACAAACTATAGCAATGAGCTTCACAGCTCAAACCAGTATTTTAAGTGTTTCACACCCAGCTGAAATAAATCTCCTAGATGATGGTTTAGTACAGACATTAACCAGCGGACTGAAGACTAATCTAGCATTGTATACTGGTACGGATCCCAAAATAAGACCCAAACTGCCGCGATTGAAAGAAAATAAGCAGCATATAGTTTACTAAACATTTTCAATGGTCGTATATTACCCAAATTCTATAGTATTGATTCTGAGTTACTACATATTCATACCCTCATAAATTGCTCAGCTTTAGTTGTATCAAAACTATTAGGATATAAAATTTCAAACGGCCCCTTAAAAAGCGAAATTCATTTAACAATAAGCCGGCTTGGCAAATAAGATTAGAAATAGATATATCTATCCTGAGCACTGATGTGTCTAGATTAAAACAATTTACTAACAATAATAGACATCCTAGATTAGTTAAGAAAATTGTTTTAATATTTAATAAATATAAATTTCATTCAACTTATGATAAAAATAATATTAGACCAGCTGAATTTTTAGACACTCTAAAACAAAAACTTGCACTTATAACCCAAAAGCTAGCCAGATACAAGATAGCCCTACAAAGAAAAGAAGACAATAGGCTTTTTCAGACTAAAGAAAAAGGATTTTATCGGTCGCTCAAACATAATGTAAGTAATGTATTCATTAAACCCAAGGAAGTACCAACTGAAGAAGAACTTAAAAACTATTGGACTGAAATATGGAAGAAAAATAATGAACATAATAAGCAGGCAAGTTGGATCAAAGAAGAAGAAAATAAAGCAGAAGCTATTGAATTGATGGAATTCACAAAAGTTACTAAATTAGAGATTGAACTTGTAACAAAAAAAAAATGAAAAACTGAAAAGCTACTGGACCCGATAATGTTCACAACTTTTGGTATAAAAAGTTCTCCGACCTCCACGATATTTTAGCAAAAATTATTACAGATATATTAAAAGGCGCATCAGAGCATCAAACCATCATTTGCAACCGTAGTTACTACTTTCATGATTCCCAAAAGTGATAAAACAGCAGATCCCTCACAGTACTGACCGATTACGTATCTATCAACTATATACAAACTAATAACATAATACATACATACATAAACACTCACGCCTGTCACCCAGAAGGGTAGGCAGAGACTACAGACTTCCATTTGGCACGATCCTGACACACCTCTCTCGCCTCCTTCACATCCATACACCTACGCATACATGCTCGTCAGTTAAGGGTTCTCCTAATTTGGCCCGTTTTCAATAAATCGCCAATTTGGTCGATAAATTTTCGCCTAGGACGTCCCTTTCCGACTCTGCCATTCACTTCTGCAACATAAATTTTCTTTGTCACTCTTTCCTCATTCATTATTTCCACATGACCAAACCACCGAAGCATTCCTTTCTTAATCCTGGTCACAACATCATCTTGCAAACCACACTCTTCTCTTATTACACAATTTCTTACCCTGTCGTTCAGATTCAGCTATAACATACTCCTTAACGACTTCATTTCTACTGCGTTGATTCTAATCTCGTGCTTCTTCTGCCACACCCAACTTTCACTACCATACGTTAAAGTAGGGACCAACACAGCATTGTGAATTGCCATACGTGCCTTTTTTGACACATTTTGACTCTTCACAATAGAGTGCAGGGTCCCATTTACTCTATTTCCCGCATTCACTCGTCGTTCTATATCCTTATTATATCCCATCCCTGTTAAATACACAGCCCAAATATACAAACTCGTCTACTTGCTCGATCAACTCCCCTTCTATTCTTATTTCACAAATCGTTTTACTTTCTTCTCTTTCAAAACCCATAACCTTCGTCTTACTTGTGTTCACTTTCATACCCCTTTCTTTTAATGATCTGTTCATTAATGTAACCATCATTTGCAAATCGGGCACCGACGACGCAAGAATAACTTGATCATCGGCGTACAAAAGGCATTTGACGGTTAACTCACATTCTTCATCCTTAATCCGCATTCTTCAACTTTCAAATTTTGCAAACAACTGTCCATAAATAGGTTGAACAGCCACGGGGAAGCTACACAGCCCTGTCTGACACCTTTGTGGATGCCAAACCAGTCCGAGTAGACCCCGTTGATTCTAACACAAGCACTCGAGTCCCTATACAGAGACTTTAATGCCTGTATCAAACCAGCGCTCAACCTAAATGCGTTCAGCGTTTGCCATAACACATCCCTGTCCACTCTGTGATAAGCCTTTTCCAAGTCCATGAACGCACAAAAAACCTTTTGGTTTTTTGGCCAAAAACTTCTCCGCGATCATGCGCATGGAAAAGACTTGATCTGTACATCCCATTCCCTTTCTAAATCCCGCTTGCAAATCCCAAATTTTTCCGTCAGTTTCGTTCATGACCCTTTCAATCAGTACCTTAGCATACAGTTTTCCCACAATGCTAAGAAGGCTGATGCCACGGTAGTTTTTACAGTCCTACTGCGACCCTTTTCCTTTATATACTGGGACTATCACGGCTTTGCACCAGTCTACCGGTTCCCGCTTCAGTTCCCAGCATAAATTAAACAAGGTGTGCAGCAGGCCTGCAACGACTTACTCTCCAGCCCTTAGCATTTCGAGTGAAACTCTATCATATCCGGCAGCCTTACCTGCTTTCATGCTTTTCATTGCTTTCATTATTTCATCTATACTTATCTCGCTACCTATTTCCTCTTCTTTCGGAGTTTCTACTTCACTTAGTACACACGTTGTCTTCTCACTCATAAACACGCTTTCAAAATATTCCTTTCATCTCTTTAAACTCAAAACTTCATCATTCAAAATATAGCCATTCTCGTCTCTTATAGCATTCATCATAGGCTGTTTTGAATGTCCCCTGGCAGTTCTTACAAGTTTCCAGAACATTTTAATATTTGACTGGAAGTTATTCGATATTCTTCTATCATTCTTAAAAATTCACAAACTAATAACCTCTTGTATAACACTAAAAATTAATACGCATTTAACACATAATAAAGTATTAGCAGAGGAACCAAAAGGATGCAGACAGAATCACAGAGGATGCAAAGAATAACTCATTATCGACTCGATAGTAATTAAACACGCTACCGCTGATTATAAAAAAGCATTCGACAGTGTACCTCACTCTTGGCTGATACGAGTTTTACAAATTTATAAAATCTACCCGGAAATTATTTCTTTCCTTAATGACGG